TGACCCCAAAATCTAGATTATCATAAAATACTACCATTGTTATATTGAAACACTACAAAATCGTAGTTTCTACTTTTAATCAACCGACTTTATTTCGCATTTCATAGGTGACAACCAACCTGATAGTTTACAAAAGTTTGATCAGTGAGTGGGGACTACTGTCATGCTTTGTTAATTTTTTGTGCTTGTCAAGTTACAACTTAACCATTAGATTAAGTGATTCTCTATCATGTGCACAATTTTAAAATGTCAGACGGTTAGACACAGTCGGCAAGAAACCATAGACATAGGTTTCAAAACTATGACATTGATCTTTCAAATCAGCTACTACCCGAATAATTCAGTAATAACATTTTGGACTATGAATCTGATTGATCTAAGTTCGAATCAATCAGCAATTATCAGTTCCTTAAAGATGTTAGTTATGCCATTAAGACGGCCATCAATTAAAATCAAACATAGGTTAATCAGGGTTTCCTTTATACTACCTTCAATCACCTTAAATCCTGAAAATGATTAATCTGCTAATTGAAAGGTCAATACAATTTCCCATCCGCTTCTAATATAATCCCAAATTAAATTGGCATGGCAACTTGAACACAAGAGAAATGGAGTAAAGCGAAAAAAGAGCGTTGCTCCAAGATTGGGGTAATATAGAAAGACACAGCATTCGTACTGTTCAACATGACCCTAATCATCTGGAATTTTAGGTGTTTCAAAGACACTTCTATTCTATCCTGACTGAACAAAACACTTACAAGCATTTTCTGAGCTTCTATCGAATTTTCCGATGAGTATTTCAGAACTCCCCCCTCCAAAAAACACAAAGCGAAATAAAATTTTGTCTCCACTCAAATATTTTACAATCGTAGTAACAGAAATATTTAAAAACTAGATTTCACATAACAACCATAATATTACGTCAATTGGTTTTCATCTATGAACATATTATAATTTTCATAGTTGAAATCATGAGTCATTTGAAGTTAGACCATCATGGAAAAGCCGGAAGCACTGGACGGCCAACTCGTCCTATTATGGGGCTCCTCAGCAGTGCGCATCCACGATCCCACACTCGCGATATTCGAACTTAGGACCTACCAGTCTCGCACCGTTGGATGCCAGCTCAGTGGTCTATCGGTTAAGTGCTCTGGTGCAAGACTGATAGGTCCTAAGTTCGAATATCGCGAGTGTGGGATCGTGGATGAGCACTGCTGAGGAGTCCCATAATGAAAATACTGAAATTTCCACAAAACCCCTTCTGATATTATAATTTGATTAATTTTTTGTTTAATTTTAACCGGTTCTATCATTAAAAAGAAACAATTGCTTTGTCTTACTGAATTACTCATCGCTAAGATTGTTTTCCTGAATTTTTTTTATTAGCAACTCTTTCTTATCAATTACATCCTGTGCGGACTGTCTCGATATTGCTTGAAGTCGCAAGCTTTATAACCAAAGATGGATATTGGCTAGCAGTGGAATCCAGTTTGACGCGCGTTTCGTCCCATTTGGGACTTGTCAGCTGGATGTATCTGCATCTAAGAGTTGATGTTCATTCTGGGATTCGAACCCAGTACTGCTCGCTTCAAACGCCATCGCGTTATCCACTGAGTCTTCATAGCCACCTGCTTGTGCAATGAGGTGAAGTTATATTCACTTGCTATTGTTTACTTATATCTTTCCATTGTTATTTATGTCTGTAATTGATCAGTCTTTTGTTGGCACATGTTCATCCAATGCGGACTGCCTCGATATTGCCTGAAGTCACTGCTAGCCACTATTCATCTTTAATAACACAATTGTTTATTAATCCAATCCGAATATGTTTATCAAAAGTTGTTCTGAATCAATGTGTAATTTATACCCCTTATCCTAATTAACAATTTATCAAATAACATAGGTAACAATGTTATACAAATTTATGAATGATTTGAATACATTTCAGTTATCAATAAGACTCAGCCTTACAAATGATCAATGTCTCTAACTTGTAACTAATAACAATTATCCATATAAACAAAGATGGATAGTGGCTAGCAGTGGAATCCAGGACACTCACAATGCCAATTAGAGACTGATCAGTTGTAGTCCTAAACATCAATGGGAAGATTCAAACAAATAATTCTAAGTTAATTTAATTATCCATATAATTCTTGACAATGTCCATAATTCAATAGAGGCTGTGAGATGAATATGAATGAATTTCATTGTTACATAATAAACTGACCTTAGTTAAACAAGTATTAGAAACTAGTAAGCATTGGGTAGTTATTTCATACTAGTAAGGGACTTCTCAGAAGTGCTCACCCATGACGTCATAGACCAGTGAGATCACGGTCCTCAAGTCTTGCACCGAGCGTCTATTCTTTAGATTAACGAGTAGGTAACCAATAATTTACATTTATAACTTCAATCAATTTGCAATACTTCATTGAAGATTTGCATATATTCTAGAAAAATTTAGAATTTGCTGTATTCACGATACCTTCAGACAGAGCACTACAAAACGCGCCCGATATAATCAATACATATGATTAAACTTATTAACTTAGCATTCCGCATAGATGGGATGTTGGATATGACGAATATTTCTAAAAATAAATCGGAAATCAACTGGAGAGATAGTGTCAGCTAATAAGTTATGAAACAGAACTAGATCACCGATGAGCTAAATTTGAAGAACTGGTCTGGAATGTCATTTTTTGAATGGTAAAATGAAATTTCGTTTTACTCAGTATAGAACTTCGGAGATCGCTGAGTTTCATTAAAAGAATGAACCGATAAATGTTAACTTCAACTAATTCACGACATTGCGCGGCTATCTTTCATTGTCTTCGGTGGGTAACTGCCTCACTGTTAGACTCCGGCCCAGTGGTCTAAGGGTTGTGTTACTGTGAGCGAGACCGAAAGTCCTTAGTTGATTTCGTGCGTGCGTGACCATGGAGGCGCACTGATGAGGAGTCCCATACCAGAACGACCGTCCAGTGCTTTGACGTCTAACTTAGGTCAGTTCACGATTCCAATGGCCTTTTATTTTTAATTACTTGGGGGATGTGTAATAATGAAGCGGACCAGAAAATGATATTGTCATGAAGCTTTATCGAATTTGTTTACGAAACTGTAGCCATGAAAACAAATAAGTTGAAAAACTTCTTCACTTTTAATAGCTTTAATTGTAATCTAACTTAATAGCGATTTTCAAATTCGAGCCAATTTCATTACGATATGAATGATTACAGCAAATCCGCATTTTCTGAGATGGATAGTTTTATTGTGAATCATGCTTTCATCCTGCTTGGCTATAATGAAATTCTAAAAATAGTTCAATAAACAACCGCAAATATATGAATTTGTAACGTAGTCGAAGTCTGTCTCTGTCAACTATTAGTCTCCATCATTACGTTGTTTTAATTTCACGCTAGGGTCATTATTAATTGTCATTAATTACTGTTATTAATAGAAGTGTTCTACCGAGTTGTCAAACTGGAACGAACTGAAAAGGATTGCCCAGGACAGGGTTGGATGGAGAATGCCGGTGAGTGGCCTATGCTCCTCCACGAGGAGAAACAGGGGTAAGTAACCGAGTTGTCAGCTTAATTTTTTGTTTATACTTTTCACCTTCAGATTCTCACAAACTTCTTCAGTAGACAGTATAACTAACTTCAGGCTAAACGCAAACTTACCAACAGCTAAATGGTAAAAACTACACTTTCGACTACTTAAACGGTTAATCGTATTCACTCGAAAATGAGTTCTATTGATTAATTAATCGGGATCATCAAAATGTGACATAATAAAACACTAATCTACATACATAATATAAAAAGATATTAATAAGATAGCCATGTTGGTAGATGCAGATTAATTGGTTGGGGTCAGCACGACTATCATAACCAATGGTTGGAGACTGTGTGACAGCTCAGGATCAATCCTAATGGAGTAGGCGTATACACTCTTTGTCTTTCCTTAGATCGTGAGATTAAAATTGCTTTATATCTTTCTTCCTACTAACTGATTTTTTCGTCCTGTACTATATCTTTTACACAATATTTTTTTATATATTATTACCATTTAAGTAACACTGTAGTATGGTCTACTTATACCCATATAAGTAGTATATGGCGATGGTCAGACATTAGATGTATTTTGGCAGACGACCGATAAGGAAAGAACGGAAATGAAGCACAATTGGTATGAAAATGCATGAAGAATGGAATTAGAGAATATGAACTGATAGTTACAGAAATAACAGTGAAGATTGAGACAATTGATGGTTCATTGTATTTTTATTTATTTATTTAAACACATAAATATTGGTACAAGGAAGAACCAGATAAATATGCGCCACACAAATCTCATTCGATTTGTGTGAGGGCTGTGATACTGACCAGACTGAAGCAAGTGGTTTTCTTAAGGGACCACACCCCGAACCTTTGACCTGAAGGTCTAGTCCACAACGCAGTGGAGCATCTTAAGGAGATGCAGTCCTATGCTAGCCAGTCACCAACAGTTGGTTCATACGCCATTTGTTCCTTCAGGATACTGGAGCCCATGTGCACTATTGGTTTGGAATCAGGGTTTTTCAACTCCCCTAGGTGGATCCTCCACATCCATCAACCCGGTTAAAGCGCCGGACATTCGCTTTTCGTCCTCTCACTTTTGTGAACAACACCCCCGCCATAAGAAGGCAGTGAGTAGGAATTCCCTGGCGGAGGCTATATATTCGCGTGGCCATATGATAGCATTTGGAGAGTGAGTGCTCACTCTACCCATTCTCGACCGTACCAGGGCTTTTGTGGGATAGTCTGTAATTTGTTTCTAAATATATTCGATTGTCCCCAAATAGTGTTCTATTCACTACAACATCAAAGGGTATGAATTTGGTGATTATCTTGTTGTTCTAATGAAGTATGACAACTTGAACCGATGCATATATGTGCCTGATCCTACGTTGTATCTAACTAATTAACTAACTAACTGACCATTACTAACATCATATAAACATATACATATCCTTCTTTATAAATAGAATACATGTCAAAATAAATATTACATTATTATCAATCATTGATATAAAAAAAAAGAAAAGAAAGAAAATAAAAGATGAACAGGATAAAAGTAGTGAATAGATATAGATGGATATAAGCAAATACACATAAAGAAAAGAGATATACACAAATGATTCCTTCTCCCTTTTTCTTTTCTATGCACATTATTTACATAATACTAATTTGTTGTTCTATAAAATAAAGAAAAAAAACAGCAAAAAGAAAAGAACAGCAACAACAAACGACAATAGAGAAAAAAAGGGGGGAAAGAATTTTCAATATACATAATAGAAAGAAAAAGAAGAGGGAAAAATAAAGAAACCTTTAATGATGTAATTAATTAGTGAGTAAAATACATGAATAAAAAGGAGACATGTATAAAACACGAATACACACTAACACACATGAGCATTGAAATGTGTATACACAGAAAACACCAAAAAAAACATGCGGAAAGTGAGAGAGGGGGGAATGAGGAGTATCATCCTTCCATTCTATTTTAATTTATCCGCCATGTTCGTTTAAAGATTGGTTTGGCGGGAAAGAAGTGATCTTCTTGTATGTTTTTTTACACATATAAACCTGTTTATAATTTACATTGATAAATTGACAAATGCATTGTCTTGAAGCTGTAGAGTATTGAAATAATAAAAAATAAGCAAAGATCTAAGGAGAATCAGAATGAAGTCGATAGATAAATACATGTCTTCTTATATATAGCTGTTGAATATAAAATGACAATAATAAAAGTCCTTCAAAAAGAAAAAAGAGGCGGAACGAAACGATGACACACAACGAGGTAGAAAGAAGCAACGACTAGATTAGTTTCATTTGAAATTTAAACAAACAAACAAAAAATAAAATACATTGGAATTAGCCAATCAAGATGGTCTCTCTTACACACACACACACACGTACACCTATAGGAGTCATCAAGATGATGAATCGTCACACATCATTACTGGTGTTATAAACACTACACATATTTCAAAAGATACAAGTGTAAAAGAATGAAAAGAAGAAAGTATATAATGCACATTTCAAATGTTGAAGAAAAAACAAAGAGATTGTCTATTCCATGTTGACATTTTAAAAGACGAACCAAAAGAAAGATAATAATCATATTCGTCAAAATTACATATAATGATTAGATTAAGGAAAAGGCATACTACAAAAGGGAAGGATAGATAGTATCCTACTTAGTTACTTCATTAAAGAATAATAATAAATAAATAAATACATGGACGACGTTATACATCCGGGAAGAGTTTTAGTACACAATGGTATCAATATAAACAGTTATTGTTACTCGATAGGAAAAATGCATCATATCTGTAAATAATACTTATTTTAAAAAAAAAAACAGTTCTTATAAAGCTGTGTAAACCAATTTCTCATCTCCTGTGCTTAATGCAGCATTTAAACTAGTATTATTTGTATTCTGTACTAGATCTTCCACTATACCAGCTGCTGGTTGTACAAGTGGAATTGTACCGGATGAAATAGCTGTACCAGAGAAAAATCCTGCTACCGTTGAAGCAGTCGATACTAAACGTCCATTTGTTTGTTGTTGCTGTTGTTGTTGTTGTTGTTGTTGTTGAGGTGTGGCAACACGACGTTGAGGAGTTACTGTAATCGATGTCTGATTTGATTGTAATGCTGTAGCTTGATGATTTATAGTCATACCAACTGGTCCAGTTGGCATAAACTGTGGCAAACCAGTAGTTTGAATAAGTTGACCATTTGGACCAACAGCCATAACTTTTAATGGAGCACCTGGTGCTAATGTAATAAATTGTGGAGTATTGTTATTAGAATATCCAATGGAACCAGTAGTTTGACCAGTAATATTATCAGTAGACATTATGGTACCTTGTTGTTGTGCTGATTGTAATTGATGCGTTTGAGCTTGAATTTGTTGATGTTGTTGAAACTGTTGAGTTTGTTGATACGGTTGTTGTTGTGTTTGAATTTGAACAGTAGGTTGTCCTCGTTGAATATGTAATCCAGTCGTTGCTGCTGTAGAGCATTGTGTTAATGCTTGTTGTTGCTGGTGTTGTTGTTGGTCGGATAATAATAAACTTGTGAAATTCGAAGCAGGACAACCAACAGGAAGTAGATGATATGAGGTTCCTGCACCGTTAGCACCTGTGATATAGAATAGAAGTTTTATTTAAAAAGTTAATATGATATCTACTACCTATATAATTAATCTTAACAGACAAAATAGAATAAGGGATTTCTTTTGATAGTTGAATTCATGAGTCGATCTAAGCTAGACCGCCATTGAAAGCCTCCCAAAATATCCATTCTGACAATAATCATATACTTACTAGTGACTTGCTTAGAGAAGTGATTCTAAGAGTTCTAGTGAGAACCTGTGATCAGGGGAGCACAATCCGTGTCGGACGTGAGACATTTATCTACCTCAGACAATAGATGAAGGATTGTGCAAGATCATGAGTAGATTGAACTTAGACATTACTACGGTTGAATGCCGGCTCAGTGGTCTACAGGTTGAGCGTTCGTGCGCAAAACCGAAGGTCCTGGTTTCAGGTCCCGCGTGAGGGATGGTCAATTAGCACTACTGAAGAATCCTATACTAGGACGAAATGACCGTCCAGTGCTTTTAGGTTTTCAATGGTAGACCAGCTTAGATCGACTCGTGAAAATTCTACAATATCCACAAATCCCCATACTTTCTAAATTAACAATCTATAAGAAACATATTATAAGAATTATCATCTATTTCATTTTTTAACTAGTCGCTTATCAAACACAAATATTAATTAAACAAGAAGAGAAGTAAACAACTTAGGAATAGCTGTTAATTTAACCATAAGGTCGCTTCACTCTGTCGTATGAATTAATGTCTCCAACTGCTCCTCAGAAGAGTCAACAGAAGCCCAGAAGACGCTTGAAAACATTTTGTCCAATCAGGATAGGAGTTTCTTCAAAACGTCTAGAAGGATGATACATTACATGTTACTTTTTTGATCAGTCTATTACCTACTCACTACTACATTGAGTGTACTACCAGAACTTCCCAAGTGACCGAGGTTATATTAAATAGTACGCACAACTTTATATATATATATATATATATATATATATATATATATATATATATATGATTGAAATAAAACTTACCCGCAGGAGCTTGTGCCAAATACACTTGTTGTGGATAAGCTGCTTGTGGAGCACCCCCAGTAGCTGCGGCTGCTTGTAATCCAACTGGATGTTGTGATGTAAATAATAATTGTTGTTGTGCTTGGTGAGCCATTTGAATTGAAGCTTGTTGCATAACTCCTGGTTGTTGTGTGAACATTTGTTGTTGCTGCTGTTGTGTATGTCCAGTTGTCTGAGTACCAGCACCTCCTGAAGGTGACTGGATAGCTGTACCAATTTGTTGTGGTTGTGGCTGATGATAGATAGAGACATTTGGCCAAGTTCCAGCAATTCCCTGTTGTTGATGTTGATTGGGCTGTTGAAATTGAACAGTTGTTGGAACACCTTGAGTGCATGGAGTCGTGGACCATTGTAAAAGTGTTTGACCACCACCAGCAGTATTACCACCATTACCTGCAGATAAATTTGAAGTTTGTGGACTAATAAAAAATTGTTGTGTTGTACCAGTTGGATGATTATTGGAAAATTGGAATTGTGGCGTACCAGCAGCATAACAACCCGATCCTACAGCTGTTTGGGTACCACCTATTCACAAAGTATTAAAATAAACTCAAACATCATATTGATTTCATGATAATTAAAATAAATAGTTAGTTTACATTTAATTTATAACAGTTAAATAATAATATAAATGAGTTAGATAATACAACTGTAGGGTTATATAGGCCCCACAAATGCCCTGGTACGCCCGACGATGAGAGCTCTCTCGAAATACTCTCATATGGCCATGAGTATAAAGTCACGCCCAGGAAAGTCCTATTCACTGCCTTCTCGAGACAGGAATATTGTTTACTAAATTGAGAGGATGAAAGACTTATACCCGGCGCCTCAACGGGCTTGGTAGATACGGAGGATTCACCTATGGGGGAGTTAGAAAATCAAATCAACGTTCCACACGGGCTCCAGGATGATCCTGAGGGGAGAAATTATGTATGAACCTATTGTTGATCACCAGCTACTATGGGATCACATCTTTACTGCCTTGTGAGTTGGATCTCTAGGTCGAAGGGTCAGTTAGCATCCCCCCAAGAAAACTACTGATTGGGTTTGGATACCTGAACAGTATCCAAGCCCCCATATAAATCGAATGATATCTTTGTGTGGCTCATATATATTTTGGTACAGCTTTGTAAAACTGATTATGTGTTTAAATAAAACAATTAAAAAGACATACACACAGCATATATCTAACATGAAGTTTGCTTAAACTACAACACCATAGACAATCTTTATCTCGAGCAAATTGAAAATTCTACTAGAAGTTATATATCAAACAGGGCTTCAAGGTACTTTGCTTGAATACGGGGCACAGTGAAAGAAGGAACAAAGGAACGTAGAACATGGCACATACGTACATCGGTTTTAATTGTCATACTCCATCAAAATATTGCGATGAAATTGTCAGGAAAAAGTCCATAGTAGAGGTAGTAAGAGTAATAATGACAATAGGAAAGATTATACATTAAAGATACAATTCGTGGAAATATAAATCTGAAGTAGAAAAATTTGAGGAATTTAGAAACTTAGGATCTAAGAGAAGTCAAAGAGTACATGCACCTGCGCCAATACGGACAATCCTGAGCTATATCACCCAAAGTTTCCAACTATTGGTTACGATAATCAATATGGACCTCAATCAGGTATTTTGAATATAACTACATGGCACAGTTTAATAGCCAATGTCTTCACAAACTGATAACATATGTTTAATTGGCCGCCCCTAGCCTTTTTCTAACTTATTCCCACACCAAACATAATCATGCATCGAGGAAGTCGATGGATAGGCATATGTAATACATGTTCTTGAATCGGTTTCAAGGTTGACTACTTGTGCAAGAAGCAAATCTAATTGCTCCAAGTAAAAAAGTCGTGCACACCTCAACCATGCAGCGAAATTAACAAACTTAAGTATCATACTCATTTCTTATCAATCGACTATATTCAGTCAGCTACAACGTAGGACCAGGCACATATATGCATCGGTCCAAGTTGCCATACCTCGTTAGCACAACAAGATGAACACCGGATTCATAGAAGTAATTAATGTAGTGGTGGTAGTAGTATATAAATTATAGGTTGTATATAAGGATATAGTATAGGAAGGAAGAGAGATATGAAGCAATTTTAGTCTCAAGGTTTAAAGGAAGATAAAGAGTGTATACACCTACGCCATTGTGATCGATTCTGAGCCATGTCACCTAGAGTCTCCAACCATTGGTTACGATAGTCACGCGGACCCCAACCAGGTAGTCTGCATCTGTCAACATGGCTCAGACTAGAAGTTAGTGACAATCGACTATATTCCGAAATTGTTAGTTGGGGGTACCAATGAAAATCAGAGAGGAGGCAGCTGTTCTGTCCTAGTATAGGGGACCTTGGCAGTGTTCACGGGTACCATATTTCAATTGATATAGCAATATCTAAAAATAAGCCTTCCGCCTACTTTTCAGGAGAATTTTGATATAGTCAGTCAGAAACTGAACATGATCCCCAATAATACGTCTAATATTTTAAGACAGTTGAGGAAAAACCTTACACATACTTTAATGCTTTGTTATTACTCTAACTAGAAAATATTTCTATCTGTTCAATGTATTAATTCATTGATCTATAAAACGAAGGTTACAACGTAAAATCACTTGAAAGTCATGTTACACCTAAACAGTTAAAAGATTTTGTGGTATCTAAACGTTCAAATAATCTATGAGGACACTCTAAAAAAAGTCCACAAGACCAGAATAAATTACTTGTCATTTGACTAATGACGTTCTCCATCGACTCATTAATGAATGGAACTCGTTACCTTAACATGTGATTGAAACTTCATCATTCAACGCATTCAAAAGAAAGTTGGATCACCTGAGAAACCATAATTGCCAGAACTAATACAGACTATCTAAAGTCCTGTTCTTTCCAGACTGAAACTGATCACATATATACATGACAACAGCAACAACAATTACTACTGACTTACTTATCAATATGAACACCTAACACTAAGGTCCAAACACATCGATATATCTATTTGTTTATTTATGTACTGAAGACAAGTTGCATAAAGAAGTATTGATTTAGAAACTTCATTCAACGCTTTTAATAATCACTTCCACGTTCAATTACACACATGGCTAGCACTAAACAATTTGTCGTATCAGAACATTAGTGATAATATTCTGTTGAGCAAAATTGAAATTAATGAAGTAGTAGAGTTTTCAACATCATCTTGGTCTGAAGTGAGCATCCATGATCCCGCAAGCGGGACTCGAACCCACGATCTTCGGTCACGCGCGCGGACGCTTAACCTTTAAGACCACCGGACCGGCATTGTGGATGGGCACTGTTGAGGAGTCTCATGATAGGACGAAACGGCCGTCCAAAGCTTCCAGGTTCTTAGTGATGCTTTATCGTAGATCAACTCGTGAATTCAACTGAAAAGAATCTTGACAAATTCCCATACTGATAATCATCTTAATTATTAAAAATCAACTGATCTAATATCCTCAAAATATAATAATTATTTCTTTCTTTATTTAAACACATAAATATTGGTACAAAGGTACACCAGACATATATGCGCCACACAAATCTCATTCGATTTGTGTGAGGACTGCCCGGATGCCCAAACCAAAGCAGGTGGTTTTCATAGGATGGGCGAACCCCGAGCCTTTGACCTAAACATCTGATCCACAAGGCAGTGGAGCATCATGAGGAGGTGCAGTCCCATGGTAGCCGGTGATCAACAAATGGTCCATACGCCATTTGTTACCTCGGGACACTGAAGTCCATGTGCACCATTGGTTTGAAATCAGGGTTTTCCAACTCCCCTAGGTGGACTTTCCGTGTCCACTAACCCTGTTAAAGCACCGGACATTCGCTTTTCGTCCTCTCAATTTGGTAAACAACACCCCCGCCACTGTGAGAAAGCAGTGAGTAAGAATTCCCCGGCAGAGGCAGAAGATATAAAAATTAATATGGAACGAACTAATTCAACATTCAACTATCTTAGTTGCCCCTAAATAACCTGATACGGTCGATGATAGGGCGAGTCAGATCTCCACCTCCAAATGCTCTCACATGACTACGCCTATACAACCACTTCTACGGAAGTCCTTCTCATTACCTTCTGGTGACGGGAATGTTGTTTACGAAATCGGGGGGATGAAAAGCCAATATCCGCCGCCTCAACCGGGTTGATGGATACGGAGGATCTATCTAGGGGAGTTACAAAACCCTGATTCCGAACCAACGTTCCACATGGACCCCAGGATCCCGAGGGAACAAATAGTGTATCAACTGATTGTTGGTACCCGGCTACCATAGGAATGCGTCTCTTAACGTTGCTGTATTGTCTTGTGGATTAGACCTCTAGGTCAAAGATACGGGGAGTGGTTCCCTAAGAAAACCACCTGCTTCTGTTTTGGCACCTTGACAGTCCAAGCCCTTACACAAATTGAATGACTAAATGTGACGCATTTATATTTGGTGCTTCATTGTACTAAGGTCTATGTGTTTAAATAAATAAGTAGATTGACAAGAAAAGAAAGGAAAAACAACTTTAATCTACGAGAGTTAATTAACTACACATACACACACGCACAAACACTATATATTTACATACCAGGATGAACAGGTATAGCTGTAGCTGTTCCACCAGCGGCAGCCGCCGCCGCTGCTGCCATTGTTGACAAAGTGACCATTGGTGTAGACATAAAATGACCACCAGCACTAACAATCATTTGATGTTGTGGTTGTGGCTGTTGTAAAATTTGTTGTTGTTGCTGTTGTTGTTGAACGGATTGTTGACTGAACTGTTGTTGGAATTGTTGTTGTTGCTGCTGCTGGTGTTGTTGTTGCAGAAGAAATGTTTGTTGTTGTTGTTGTTGTTGTTGCTGCTGCTGCTGTTGTTGTAGTACTTGTTGCTGTAAGACTTGTTGTTGATGTTGTAATTGTAAATCAGTTGTACAATTTGTAAATGTTATACCAGTTGTATTATTTGTAGTAATACCAGTTACATTCATAATTTGTTGTATAGAGGTAGTTTGTTGTAATGATTGTTCCATTGAATTGTTAATATTATTGGATGATTTTTTACGTTTAGCTATTTAAAAGAAAATACATTTGCAATCATTTAAACTATTCTGTTGCTAATGGAATTTGTATTACCCTTAATTGGTATATATAGATGTTGTTTACAGATCACCTTAAGTGTAATCGGCATATGTTTATATATAGAATAGATAGAATGTAGTTTAAGTAATGGTATCAACAATTCACATTTTATCTTAATGTGGGTTTGTTCTCTGAGCTGAATGGTTTGGTCGTGCAGAAATTTAAACACTTCACCTCTACCCGAAGTTTGTGCTGATGATGTCGTTCAGAAGGACGATGAAAGCTCCACGACCAAACCATCCAGCTGAGAGAACAAATCCACATCAAAATCACTCACCTGAGCTACAAATCTCCAACATCTCATATTTTATTTTATTTTACATAATTCAGTTGAATATACCTAAGAGTTGATACAACTTCCAACTGAAAAAGAAATTAGAAATGTTGGAAGTGGACAGGACATATATTAAGGAAATCATCAAATTGAATCACGATGCAAGTGTTAACTTGGAATCTTGAAAGGAAACAGAAAAGAGGAAGACCAAGGAACATACTACGTCGAGAATTGAAAGCAGACATGAAAAGAATGGATAGCAACTGGAAAGGACTGATCAAGATAGAGTTGGATTAGGAATGCTGGCGGACAACCCATGCTCCTCCTCCACGAAAGGTAACAGAAGTAAGTGAGTACATCAGAGTTAATATTCACTCTAAGATTTGAAACCAGAATCATTTCCTTCAAACGCAAATGTTTTATGCACTTAGTTACTGAAATTCAAATAACTACTCATTTGTGAAACAGATATGAATTTTAGTTTAATTTGTAAATAATCGAATTCACACTGATTATAGAAATAAGTGGCTATTTGAGCTCAATAAACAAGTCGATAGATAACATGTCGTTTGGAAAAGAAAACGGTACTGGATTCACATTCCGGAGTGAACACCAACTTCGGGACAAAGGTACATCCAGCTGACAAACGAACAGAAAATGAACAACGGGGAAGGAATATGAGAAAACACGAGAAAAACAATGTAATATAGATTGATCAATTGCAGTCCTAAACATCAATCGGAACATTAAAACAAACAATACTAAGTGAATTTAAACTTCACCACATTGCACAAGTAAGTGGCTAACAGGACTCAGTATCTGAGTGGTTAACGCGATGGCGTTTGAAGGTAAAGGTACTGGGTCCGAGTCCTAGAATGAACACCAAATCTGAGATGTAGGTACATCCAGCTGACGAGTTCCAAATAGGACAAAACGCACATCCTGGATTCCACTGTTAGCCACTATCCATCTTTGCTTATAATGCTTGTGAATTACGGCTATATCGAGGCAATGCGCACATTACGCACATATGGCAATAAGAGACTGATCAATTGCAGTCCTAAACATCAATGGGGAAGATTAAAACAAACAATACTAAGTGAATGTAATAGAAAGTTGTCATTAACAGAGTTCTCTAGAACGACAACTCTACATTGATAATACTGGTAAGACAGTCTTAAGAAAATAGCATACAGTGTGAACTGAACAGATTTTATGTCCGACCTTGTGAAACAACATAAAGATACGATTCTGTAATCATAATTATTAGTTTAAATACAGATAGTTCGAATCTGAACGTCTGTGATTAAAAAATTTTTTAGATCAGAGGGGATTTTGTGGAGAATTTAGTATTTTCATAGTTGAAATCATGAGTCAATTGAAGCTAGACCACTATGGAAAACCTGGAAGCACTGGACGGCCAACTCGTCCTATTATGGGACTCCTCAGCAGTGCGCATCCACGATCCCGCTAGTGGGAAGCAGTGGCCAGTGGAGTTCTACCAAGTCTGTTGTAGAGATATCAATTCACTGAAGACAATTGGTGAACGGTCGCTCAAAATCGTGGATTGGTTGAAGTTAGACATTAACATTGTTGGATGACGGCTCAGTGGTCTATCGGTTAAGCGCTTTGGCTCGAGACTGGTAGGTCCTGAGTTCGAATCTCGCGGGTGCGGGATCGTGGAAGCCCATTGCTGAGGAGTCCCATAATAGGACGAGTTGGCTATGCAGTGCTTTCAGGTTTTCGATGGTGGTCTAGCTTCAATTGACTCATGATTTCAACTATAAAAGAAATTTATATGATAGAAACAAATATAAAATAGGAAAACTAATTCGACAGATACTGCAGTAAACATGTCAGTTTACTTTTTTTTCATCTTAGAAATGTATAAGTGTGAGACAGTAGAGGAAACATTTTTCCCCATTCTATTGTGTTACTAATATCCTACTTCACATGTGAATTTTTCAGTGAAAAACATTGTGAGTTTATACATCTCTTAACTACCATCATAATAAGTAATACATTATGAATAGTAATAATAATTATTATTACTATTATAAGGGGTAGTCGAGATAACCAGACACAGGCCTTTTTTTTCTACATATTTTAACCAGTAAAAACGTTGTCTCAATTGAACATTGTTGTTGTTGTTGTCGTCGTCGTCTCTGTTTTTCAAATCGTAGTTCTATACAGAGTACACATAGTATGGAGATTAAGACAAAAAAATTCTATCAATATATGTACAATGTATAAAAATGAAATAAAGAATCTAATAAGACTTATAAGGGGAAAGGCAGGAAGTAGACCATAAGGCTAGATCGATAAAAACCTAACAACAGTAAACCTATCTAGATATATATATCTCACTCACCTATCAGAGAGAGAGAGAGAGAGAGAAAATTGGCCAAACAAACATATACACATTTATATAGTCTAACCTTTTTTTTTTGTCTCTACCATACACAAAGGAGGCAGACAAATGAAATCACCATACAAATAAACTAGGTATACATATAAACAAAATAAATGAAGGGCAGATATAAAAAGGAACATACAAATTTATTCTACTAGGTAAGAAAAGAGAAAGAGAGATAGAAAGACAAAGCTAAACCAGGCCTACAACTATATATGTATGTATATTTATGGACAGAGAGAATGAATGGAATAACTGTCCTCGAGGGTGTACAAACACATAAGAGAATAATTGACCGGTTTTTTATTTTTAGAGAGACTATAAGATAGATGATCATGAATAAAAATTGCTAGCCCATAGAGTAGATGATATGACTTTGTTGTATGGTTAACCCACTACTACTACTACTACATTGATATGACCTATTATGATAGTAGGTATACAAAATGTGCCTAAAATTTTCATATAACAAAGCTCACTACTCTATTCCACTGTTAACCATTAATCCATCTTTGCTTACCATCTCTCTATTAGTTATAAGTTTACCATGTATGAAAGAAATTCACAATGAATAAACCAACTACAAGTATAAACCAATATCTTTAAAATTAAAAAAAAATGACGCGAAATGGTAACGAAAAACCAAAAAAAAAGTAGAATGTAAGAGACGACAAACGAAATGATTAGTATTGCTATTGCTATTATTATTATTATTATCGTCAATGTTCCAAACTGGTGGGACATAGAAATCATCTATATCTAACCATAGAGAGAGACAGAGTATACGTGTGTAGTGTGATAAGAGTGAGAGAGAGATCAAAGAGTTAGGGTTTTTGTAATAGCAACACTCTCTTTATACAATGTGTACATATTCACGATGTGGTAAGATTGAAATGAAAAAGTTAAGAGAATATACATAACCTCTACATATATATATTTTGTAAATGGACAGTAATATTTAGCTTTCTATCCATTTTTCTATAAGATCTGTTATTGTTTGCATAATCATCAACACAATATTGGTACCTTTTCTGTTGAAATGATACGAAAGTAGATCATCATCATCATCATTATCACAATAATGAAGGAAACATATAAAACTACTATATTTCTTCTATTCTTTACAAGGTTCACAGAAATATTGGAAGACAGAGGAATAGATATATACAAGGGTGAGACAGATAGTATGTATATATATATATAGTGCATTTTATCATTTAAATTTGCGAAAAATGCAAAAGAACACAATGAGTAGATAGTAACTATTAGTGTGTAGAAAGAAAGAAAATGATATGGTATATCATAAGGTGCACTATACTACTACTTTTATACTACTAATATACCACAAGAATATGAATAAATATAACAGTCTTTTTTACAGTGAATGGTTGCTTAACTTCGTGGATTGGTTGGAGTTAGACATAAACACCATGGGATGCCGGCTAAGTGCTCTGGCGAGAGACTGGTAGGTCCTGGGTTCGAATCTTGTCAGGCGAGGTCGTTGGTGAGCACTGCTGAGGAGTCCGACCAATAGGACGAAACGGCCGTCCACTGCTTCCATGGTGGTCTACCTTCAATTGACTCACGCTTTCAACTATGAAAATACTAAATCTTCACAAAAACCCCTTCTCATGATAAAATCTATACAGGAGAGTAAGGTGAGCTAGTTAGGAAACTTTTGAAGTGACTAAATCATTATATTGTTTGATAATTAAATAAAGAGAATTTCAATTAGTCTAGGCCTAGAGAATCTTATGTATATTTGGATAACAACAGCAACAGAGCTACTTTCTACCCTCTCTCTCTCTCTTTCATACACACAACTACATATTGGTGATTTAATGATAATACTATGAACCTTTTAAACAAATTTGAATCTTGCATAATGTAGGTGGAAAATCTTCCGTCCTACTTTATGGCAGTGAAAGATGGCCGGCAAGAGTAGAGGATATTCGTAGACTAATAGTTTTTGATTCTAGGCGTCTTCGAAGTATTGCTCGTATATCCTGGGACCACGGAGTAATTAATACAATTGTTAGGAGACGGGTACTAGGTAATGATGGCAAATCGATTGATGAAGTAGTGAAACTTCATCAGTTGAGATGGCTGGGACATATGTTACGTATGCCCGACCACCGACTGCCCCGACGTGCAATGTTTCATGGTGTAGGAGTAGGTTGGAAGAAAGCTAGGGGTGGCCAGACCAAAACGTGGCACAAATCTATGAAGTCACGGACAATTA